GGTAGCGTGTATATGAACATGGAAGAGTACTCGAAAGCACTTTCATTTTACGAAAAAGCAGTTCGAATCCAAGAGGAAATTCTTCCTGATAATCATCCTGACTTGGCTACTTCCTACAGCAACATTGGTAGTGTGTATATGTTCATGATAGAGTTGTCGAAAGCACTTTCATTTTATGAAAAAGCACTTACAATTCGAGAAAGAACTCTTCCAACAAATCATCCTAAGTTGGGTCAATCGTACAACCTCATCGGCGACCTATGTTATAACATGCAAGAATACTCGAAAGCACTCTCATATTTTGAACGTGCTCTGGACATTTTCAAAGTTTCATTACCACCAAATCATTCCCATCTTGAAGATTTGAAAGAGAATATTGTAGCTGTAAAACAGAAATTATAATTGTTGTCTTGAACAAATAAATATTTTCTTTATGCAACAGAGAAATAGTCGTATTTTTTTACATACTCGTGCGCGCGTACATAGAACATCTCTGTAAGTAATGAAAACGCAATGAACATAGTCAATCGGTAAGACAATACACTTACATAATATGTACATGTATAAAAGATCATCACAGACATATTTACGTTTCTAACATTAAATACATGAATATTCTCTATCAATTAAAAAAAATAAGTAAAACACCAGAAATCATTGTATTAAACATGTTGAAAATAAATCTAAAATATAAAAGAAACCGGAAAAAATGAGAGAAAAATAACTTACCTTGTTTAACTTGTATTGATTATTGTATTGTCTTAAACAAGGCCTTGAATGATGAGGAATAGTATAAAGTAGAGTATATATAGATAGATATATCTTCTATACATTGTCTGATTAAATTAATCAATTATTATATTTGTGATTGATGTGTAATCTTTAGTTGTATAAGTTAATGATAAAAGAACTATATTCATATCTATTTTGAACTATTTAAGGAAAAGTATTCAACTACCGATGTTCATACGAGAGGAGAGTGATTGTTTTTTAAATATGTGTTTAATCATCTTATTGATTTCAATGATAGTGAAATTTGATCCAATAAAAATGATAAAGTAAACTCACTAATAGTTACAAGATGTTTCACTCGAACTGAATTCAAATTTTTCATCCATGAATAACATGATTAAAAAAATTCATTTCTTCAACGTAAATTGATTTAAAGTGAAACGATAAGATAATTAAAGAAAATGGATTCAGTTTTTTATTAGTTTATTATATTAATATGATTATTTATCTTCTATTATTTTTCAAAAAAAGAACGTAATGAAACTACAAGCTTTATGTTCCTAATTGCTTTTTCAGTATTTTGCTTGGGATTATCGTAAGAGGACTTGCCAGAACAAAATATCATTGAATAATTCTGTTTGCTCTTCTTTCTTAATTTTTGTCTGATGAACAGGAGGAAAGTGGTGTGGGTGCGGATCTCCTTTTCATTCACGCTCGCACCCATATCCTTATCGTTGATCTCCGTAAAAGTTTCGATCAATTTCATTTGATAAATTACGAACATAACTCAATAATTGTATAGCAGAATCATCTTCTCGTTTGACACAACCTAAAGCTGTTGAGTGTACTTGAAAATGTTCTTTTACATTATTCACAACTTGATATTCAGTTGATGTTTTATCCAAGAACAAATATAATGTATTAATATACAAATCTTCATTAACTAATTCATTTTCTGTTTAGATGTATAAATAAATAATTGCAGTAAAATGATTGTCGTTCAGATTCTTATCTACAAATATGATAATCTTTTCGAGCGTTTTAAAAGATTGAATAAAAATTCAATACATATATCATTTATTATCAGGCGTTATCTATCGATGAACATATCTATTTTATTAGTTTATCAGATCACCACACCGAAATTTCACATCTATGAACCTATAGCTGCATTTATAACAATAATATCTTGATCTTTTGACACTAGACTAGATACTCTCTTATTACTTTATTTCAACTTTTTTTAAATATTTTACATTTGATGAAACAATGAGAAATTTGCCTTACCTTTTCTAATTATTTTTTTCCAATTGATTGGCGACAAATGATTTTGTCTTATTCAGAATTTCAAATGATAAAACACCGATACGCATAGTTGATCCTTTAGATGTTTAAGCATATTGATTAATAAAAACTGTAGTTGTTTTCTTGCCCGTACATTTATCAACTATAATATCAGTACTACTCCATATAGTACAATCTCCTAATTTAAATTCAGTATTAAAAAAAACATCGATATATTCAACTGAATTAAGTAGTTGTTGATAATAAGGAGATATTTCATCATCGTCATTATCATCCTTGGCACTATTGATTAGCAGATTGATTTTTGTCTGTAAATCCATAAAACGTGGTTGGGCACTACTGCCGCCGATGATAAACAACGTTCTACAAAAAATGAACATAATATATATGATTATTGGTATGACATGGTGTTTTTTGTTTAAAATTCGTGATCAGAAATATTTTTGAATTTAGAAAAATAAAAATGAATAAATCTTTGCCTTTTAGGAAACACAAGATTAGATGGTGAAAAAGTTCACTCTTCTTTCAACTTTTTATGTTGATGAGAAAACAAACTCTTTGCTACTTTCGGATGAGATTCCTATTTTATATTTTTAACCAACTAAGGGCAAATTAAGAATTGACTTACTTGTTTTTTCATAAGAAAATAAGGTTGATTTGATCACTAAGTGAAGATTATGTGCCATGCATGAATAATGTTCTCCGATACCGAGTTTGATGCATGGTCAGTTGTAATGAATCGTATCTTGTTTTAGATGGTTAAATGTAAAATTTTATGTTTAATACATTTAACAAAGCGATTGGTAATATGCCGACCACTAATCATTCGAAACTTAATGTTAACGAAATATAACTGTTTTCTTTATCATAGTAATGTCCTGTTATAGCAATGAAATATAGATGACGAATATCATTCCACACGTCAGTTGTTAAAGCAAAATCTGATATACCATTTCAGATTCGTCGAAGTGCATTTCGATGTTCGTTGTATAACTTTCGCAAACGTTTTTAAACTGTGGTCCGTTAAGTGGTTTGTAACCTGGAACAGTGGTTTGAAGAAAATCTCTCATTCCTTTTTTTCGAAAATCATTAAATGGACGAGAATCCGCAATGATTGCATTCATTTATTTTTCATTTAATTTTTCTTTAACCCAGTAGAAATTGATGAATTTTGATGTTGATCTTCTTGGGGGTGGGTGTGGTCTATAACAGATATATTTAACTGAATCAAGAAGTTGTTTATAATAAGAAGATATGTCACTATCGATTAACAGATTAATATTTGTCTGTAAATTGATAGAACATGATTGGACATCACTTATGGTGATGATAAAGAACGTTCTGCAAAACATGAACATAATGTACATAAATATTGGCGTAACATGGTGTTCTTTGTTTAAAATTTATGATCAAAAATATTTTTAGAGGAAAAAAATACATAATTGTTTGAATTTAGAAAAATAAAACTAAATGAAGAAAAAAAATTTTCTAATCAAGATTTAATAATAATTAAATTATTTAGCTTGTTCTCAAAACTTACGCATCTTCTGTGTCATTGTTGATCAGCCGATGAAGTTTTCCTTTGTATTTATACAGATCATTATTAGAAGCGACCTCGATCTATCTTTTCTCTTCACTCTGTATTCACTGGATACCATTTTGATATCTAATCACTTTCTTCTCTTATTATATATATAGGCGAGTTTTCTTCTGAAATAAAATTCTAAGAGAGTGAAGTATGACACGTTCCATTTGCTTCACCTCAATGGCTTTACTGAATCTCATCTACATTAATATATTTACTCTAATAACCGTAAATAAAAATAGATGTCTCCTTCAACCGTCAGTTACTAAAGAAATTGCGTTTTAATTATCTGAAAAGTTAGATATTTAGTTTCTGAATATCTTTTCATACACTTACTTGATTTTTGATGAATGTACAGATTTATCAATATGTTCAGCGAGATTTTCAAAGACTAATTTGATAAATATCACTATGGTCCTCTATGATTACATCCATTTCATCATCCAAAATGACTACAAAGCAGATGCATGGTCGAATATTTGTTGTTGCTATGCGATCTTGGCTATATAAGACATCAATATTTCTTCGAATTGCGATAACTTTTAATGAAAGGAGCGATCTATGTATCATCTACATTAGTAAAAGAAGACAAAAGAGAATGACACGTGCATATATATATGTTTCAGACATAATTAAAATTTAAGTAAAAGTAAACTCAATTTTAAGATGCTTTTATGATCATATAAATTTAAAAGAATAATTCAGTTGTTATTATACTTTTAAATTTTAGAAAGATGTAGAGTGTGGTAGATGTGGAAAACAAAATAAAATGAAAACTGTTTTCAAGAAGATAATAAAGTTTTTTTCATGAATGAGATGGGTAGATTGATTGTTTTTATGGAGTTCAAGTAATTTTTTTCATTTTATTAAAGAGTTAGGTGTATTTGAAGTGTTAAGTTGAAAAGATATGTATATAGTAAATGAACAGCTGGTTCATGTGAATCAGTTTGCTCCAAGAAAATTGTATGATGCTTTGTTGAGAGATATTGATAGACGTATAATCTATTTTACAAAGAGAAAGAAATTATTTTTGAATTGAATTAAGCATAAAAATCTAAATAGATTTGATTTACCATTATAATGATTTGTTTTTCCATTACGTATACGAATATTTTTGTTCCTGGTTACATCTGGTAATTCATTAATCTAAATATACAGAAATGATAAGATGATGAGTGGTTTCTTTTTTTTATACTTTTTCAAATCCAAATTGTTATATTGACTACACTTGTTTCATCACGAATTTTTAATATTCTCCGATGAATAAATTGATCAATTTTTTGTCAGTTATTTGTTATATAATTTTAAAATGAGTCATTTTTGATAGAAATATGATTATTTTTTTTGTACTGACTATTAAAAATGCCATGTTGCATATTTATATTTCGCGTAATGGGTTTGGTTTAATTTGAATTAATGGATCGAATACAGTAGATTCATATTTTTGAATTGTTGTTGATGGATATATATGAATTTCGTTTTTTGAAAATGGACTTCGATATTTTAAATTAGATGTTAGTTTCTAAAAAATGTTAGATAGAATCATCGAGTTAAATTTGCTTATAATTCATTACTTCATTAATTTTCATATTTTGTAAAGCACGATTCGCCTGTTCATGGAAGGCTACTATTTTTATTTCGCCAGATTTATCACATACGATGCCATCAATAACTTTATTTGCGCCAAAATTTTGAACTGTACTTATTGATATTACTTTACATCGAATTTGAAAACTAAATGAAAGATCATATTTTGTTGATGATTTATTTGTCGACTTTTTACCTAGTTATAATTTCGTTAAGATCAGAAGTTGAATGATATGGAGTAATTGCTATTACAAAATAGTATGTAATTGTGTAGGACTAATAAATGAATCTTAATTGGTTGGTCCAGTTGTATTTGCTGAAGTCGATGATGATTCTGAATAATGAAATGAAAACAATAAGAGATAATTAGATTTGTTTTGATGTAAGAAATTAAAGGATTCCTTTATTCTGTTACCGGTAATTTTTCTTTGTTTTAATAAGACATCATTTGATGCTGTTGTATGTCACGCAGGTGTATGTGTAATAAACGAATATCTAGCAGTTGGTTCATTATCACTTAATTCGATTTGATTAACATTGTATTCATCTAAAATACAACCATATACTTTACTTTCATTTATTGTACTCTTTTTACGTACTATTATTTATTGTAACTGATTGATCTTTTAATTGTCCTTCATTTTGATGTGGTTCGGAATAATTTGATTGTTTTCTTTGAAATGTTTGAAGATTGACGAGCTGTCGTTTTTTATAATAAGCAAAATCATGTAACAGAAAATGTGAATTATTCTCTATTGTTTTAGGTTTGATAGTTTAAATAATGAGAAATGATTGTAAGAAACAAAGATTGCGCTTAAAGTAGAATTTTTTTAATAAGATTTAATTATTATTCGCGCTCAAAAAATACTAGATTGTTCTTGATTGGTTATAGAAATGATTATGTTATAGACGGAGTATGGATTATCAAGCGTTCTAATTCAAATATTTTTCTATTGATTGTTCTGTGTACTTTATATATTAATGTAAGGAAATAAACACAATAATTTATTCGGTACAATGAATATGATATGTATTTTACGATGAGATAAATTATTGATTTTACGTATATTGATTTATTTTCTTTAGAATTTTTGAACAGATTATAATCGCCTCAAAAATTCAGACGAAGAACAAGCCTTTTTTATACGCAGCTTTGTTTTAGTACGGTTTGATATGCAGGATTGTTAGTCAGATGACAATTTGTTCATTAATCTTCACCAGAACTCAGGCTGCTTATCTACAACTTTCTCTGCTGAAATTATATGTATATATTAAAGAATCTATTGGTAGTGATCAATCGATCATTTGGTAGAAAGAAAGATCATCGGATGGCGTCGCAACCGACTAGTTCCGGATCGAATTGTTCGATCTGGATTACATCCATTTGTCGTGCGACATCTTTCTTGTTTTTCCTTTTTATTCATTGATTTATATACTGACTCAGTATTACTGAGTCATATGCAAATCTTTTGAGTCGAAGGAGAAAAGAAAAAAAATAGAATATGCTTACGTATGCAGTTATTGCATAAAAACTATAAGAATTGTGTATGTTATTGTGTTTATTTCAAACCATTGTCATTGTGAATATGTGTTAAACTTGCGAGGCTGTTTTTTGTTATGAGCATAAAATGCATTTTCACTTATTGATTACTTTAGTGTGAGTAGTATATTATTTATAGAAAATACAAGCAAAGCTTATTTATGATTCTGTGTCTTTTTTTTTCTTTTTTTCTAGAAAAAGACGTTACTGTCAAGGTCAAGATAAAATTTACATGGCTCGTCGTGAATTATGTAGTTTCCGATGGAATGGTACAGAATGGGCAACTATTACTACATATTCGAATAGTGAATTTGATTCAAAATTATGTACTGTAAACCAGCAGAATACAATGCCAGCAGTTAATGAACCTATTCGTGTAGCTACATTGAATATACTTGCAGATTGTTTTCCATGGTTTATTGAAATGGCAATACGAAGCAATGAAAGATTTGAATGGCTATGTAATGGTATTATTAATCTTAATCCAACTATAATTGGATTAAATGAAGTCACTATTAATGCTCTTCAACAATTACAACAATGTCCATTCATTCGAGAGAATTATTTTATTACAGAATCATTTGATGAGAACAATATTGAAATGAAAAATTGTACTAATGGTTTACTTACTCCTCATGGATCTATTATTTTAAGTAAATTACCATTGTTGGAAGTGTTTGCTATATCTATTTCTGGTAGTAAACGTAAAGCTGTTGTTGGAAAAGTTGAAATCGATAATAATTTAAAAACGTCTGTTTATTTTTGTGCTAATCATACGACTGCATATCAAACACCTAAGAATGCTCAATTGCGAGCACAACAGATACGTGATATCGTTGAGATCTTAGAACCACTTAAACTTCCATTTGTTATTATGGGTGATCTTAATCTTCATTATCAATTTGAAGATGCTGTAGTTATTGAAAATAAATTCATTGATGCATGGGCACAAACACATTTCTCTCATATTTATCCATTCAATGATAAAAATGAAGGTTATACATTTGATACAATCAAAAATACAATGATTCCTTATTATATTCCTGGAGAATCCAGACAGATGCGACTCGATCGAATTCTATTTTCAAATGGATTTCCTGCATTTGCTATAGCACCTTGTAGTATGTGGGCAAATGAACCTATTAAATCGGATAATTACCTTTTTCCAAGTGATCATTTTGGGCTATTTATTGATCTTGTTACTAATGTAACAGATATCAATAAATCAACAATATCAATTGGTGAACCTGATCCATCCGTTGAAGAGATCCTCTATCGTAATGCTCAGAATAATACAGATCAAAGAGAATATCGTCTTGGATTAGTTCGAAGAACAAGTACATTAGTGTCACATCTAGGCTGGCTTGGTGCTACTGCTCTTGGTCTCAAATAGAATAACATAGATTAATCTTTCTCGGGCTATTTATTCATATATTCAAGATATGATAATTATTATCACACTAGAATCGTTTTATGTTGAAAACAACTTTCAAAAATATTTCTTGCAAATAAGTAGTGTTGAATCAATATTTTATATTCGAAAAAAAACTATTTACAATGAACGCAATAGTATTTATCATATTTTATAATTTTCCAAGAATATCTCCTCTCTTTTTTTTTATTCGTAATAATTGAATGTAAGTCACAGTTAAATGTACAACAGTAATTCATATCAGCATAAATACATTTTTCCATACATCCCAATCTGTAATATATAGCATTTTACGTTCTATCAATATTTGCTCAGCTTGCAATGGACATATCTAAGTATTATTCGATCAACAAAATGTTAAATTTTGAAAATCATTTATAGTTAATAAATTCAAAAAATAACGAAATGGCACTAATCGATTTAATCCATTCAAGAAAAGAAAAGATACTTTCTAAATCAACAAGAAACTCACTAACAATCATCATAATAGCAAAACTAAGTATAGTAATAATTAATGCTATAGCTAAAATAAAAGACATAACATAATATTATATAATAATTTTTTTCTCATACCAAGTGTTGGAATACAAGCTGCAATAAAAAAAACATAGACCTGAACCAAATCTTGAGTGTGAGGGTAGACGTGAGCCTTGTTCTTATCTCGAACCCGCACCCAGATCTTCATTGCATGAAAAGTCTTTGAAATTAAAGATTAAATTTGAATTTTTTATCATTTACAAAGCTTTCATTATTTATTTTTCATTGTATTTGAATCTCTTGTTCATTTTTCTTCCGTAGTTCTTATTTTTCTTATCATTAGAATGCAAATAAATTTTCTTTTCATTTCTTTCATCTTTACCAATTTATCAATAACTAATTTTTTCCTTCAAAATTTTAAATTAACAAAAAAATGAAATTGAAAAATGATAAAACTTGTTAGTTTATTAAATGAAAATGTTTCCAACATTTATTTTGTTCTACAAACTTCATTTTAATTCAAGTTTTATTATTAAATTTTTATAAAAGAATCCGTTTCTCCTGTAAAATTCGACAAAAGTTAACAAAACATCAAGAATTGAACACTTATTTATTACAATTTTTTTAAAGAAAACAATCAAACAAAATTCAACTTAAAAAAAACAAAAAGGTGGGTCTGTGCGTGAATGTGAGTATTCTCCTCATTTCACATACACACCCACGCCCTCAAGAATAATGATATGTTTATTTGCATATTATAATTAAAAAAGAAGCAAAAGCACAAATAAAAAAATAGCTGAAGCCCTATTAATCATCATCATCCTCGATGATGATGGGATGATCATAATCGCCAAGATTGACTGGAACATAATTACTAAGAGTAGTTGGATGATCGATGAGAATCTCCGAAACAGCATTACCTTGGTCTAACTTCCATACTGGATCATTAATGAGAAAGCCTGAAAAATCCATTCTTTTCCCAGAATCCCAAATTGTTACACAACTATTTCCAAACTCAGAGGATTTCCCCGATGACATAGTCATTTAAACCAGTTTGCACCAAAAAACATAGTCAGCTATAATAATAAAAATTAGAAACTAGCATAAGTTATCATAAATTACTCAAAAACAAAGAACTATATAACTGTAACGAAAGAACCGAACAAAACCATTCTTTTGCAAACATTCAAAAGACATTAATGTGGTAAAACTGTAAGATATAAGACATACTCCCTTTACATTCACAAAGTGCTTGGATCCAACATCACTTTCCTTATACCACATTACGACTTCACACATCATAACCGATATCATTGATTACTTCACTTCTGTGCACCTCTAGAAAACTCAATTTCCTTTTCGTGGTTTATTTCTTTCTATTCTACAAACTAATTGATTTTTTAAAGAAGATTAGCTTGCTGCAAAGTAAGATTTCTCATCATATGTTATAACTATCTTTTTGCTAATGAAAAGAAAGTTTAACAGAACAACGTTTGTAGAAATAAATAATACTTGAATTTTTCCTACTACCTGATATACTTTTCGTATTATTGTACGTTAAATTTCATGGTTAGGAAATGTAAACTGCCAGAAAGTTTTAACTCTTACTTTATCAGAAAAAATTATTTCAAGTATGAATAAAACTATGAGAACGATCGAAATCTTCCTCAATACATTGTATTATATATTTCTCGTACTATCCAGATTAATTCTTGAATAAAATCAACACCTGTTGATGTAAGAGAAAAATGAGAACAAAGAAAAAAACTTTTGACAAATTTTTCTCGTAGAGTGTAGTAGTTTTAATATAATTACCTTGCGAGTTATCATTTATGTCCTCCATTATCTCTGACGTTGCTGCTGAGACATTTAATACCGGAACGTTATGACCAACACCTTGGAATAATGTGAAAATCAATCGGGACTTCCATAGCTTATAGTCTTTTAATAGATTTTTAATCTGCATTTTATCTGTGCTGATATGCGGCTGCGCTGTATCTTTCAAAGAAAAGAATAATATTATTAATAGTGAATAATATATGAAGAATGAATCTGTAGAATAAGAATCTTTTAGGAAAAGTTTCCCCATGAAGTTCTATACAAAATACAGACGTGTGTACTATTTAAAAAGAATTTCGGATGTGGGTGTAGTCAGAGCGAAGACACAAACAATATTCACACCCACATCCACACCCACACCCGATACTGATATGTACATCTTACCGAGATGAGATATAAACAAAGAGCTCTTCGATTCAAGTTCTTGTTGAGTACATCTTGTGCGGTACACTTGAAAACTGAAGAAAAAAATCAAAAGAAAAAACAATCAAGGATTTGTGTTGTTTTCTTAAATACCTTTTAGCATGGTTTTTGAAATCTTCCGAGGTTATTGGAAAGTATAAGCAATTGTGTTGGCTGTCTCGATTACAATTATTTTCATCTTGACAGTTTCCAGTATCAATTGAATATGGATGTGTTTTCACCTGAAATACATTTATTGTAGGTACAGTGACAGCAGTGACACGAATGTATAGATGCTTGTCAATACTACGCCACGCTTCCGGTATCTAATTTAAAAAAGACAGAGATATTCCTCTGTATTTTACTAGTAGTAATAAGTATATAGTTTCAGGGTGAGGGTGAGAGTGTGAGAAAATGAGCAGACAATCACCTACACCCTCACTCAACCTATCAAACAAAAAACAAGTATGTATGTATAAAGGAGGGCGTGAGTATGAGTGTGGATGGTTATAAGATGACAGATACTAATCCCACACCCTCAATCAGACAATTTATGTTTACTAAACTCTTCTCTACGAGAAAGAAAATATTGACATTTTTTCTAACAGTTAATGTCAAACTCATGAAGGTTTTATTGACAAAGTTTTGAAAACTCAATAAATAATTCTGATACTAAATAGAAAATCAATTTTATTTCGATTTGCTTTTTTCTTTCTTATGTATATTCAATATAGAACTTAATCGGATGGAAAAAAACCTCGAATAATAAAACTTCTTCGGATTTTTCGTCCAGAGTTAAAATCAATTTATAAAGATTTCTAGTTTATAATATGATATAAATTTAATAGATTGAATGATGAAATCTGTATCTAAGATTATTTATCGATAAATCTATTCAACGATAAAACATCTTGAAACCTTCAAATGAAAATAACATTTTCTTCTAAAGATATTCAAGTCTCAAAACGAACTCATATAAAACAAAGAATATTACAAATATCTAAAGAAGGAAATATAGTTTACAGTTGATCATTTCAGAGCGTTGTTACTGTAATGAATAAATTTATCATCTCTATGTAAATTTTCAGATCAAAATATAATCATTCAATTTTTTGCTATAAATCATTTTAGAAGATAAAATCTATAATTTCGAAAACAAAGTTTGAAAAATTCAGTCTTTTGAGATCATTTATGTTTCATTAGTGCCTATTGAAAATGCAAAATTCGAACTTGAAAATATTCTTTTATAGATTATATATTTTCGAATACACTTCTTCCATCTTAATTCATTTTCAATATAAACAGAAAATCAAAATATCATATTTGCTAACAGTCACAAACTCTTTTAAAATATCCCATTTATCTATTTCCTATTGTGTAACTATCATAATTTCTATAGGATAAAATTATTTTTAACGTAATAGAAAAATACCTTTTTAATTGTGACGAAGAAAAGAGAATAAAAATATTTTCGTTTTTCTAATTTGTTAAAAACTACTATAAAATATTTAAATTGATAGAGTTCTAACAATAAATCTTAAATAGTAAACGAACGTTGAAAAAAACTAATTTTTTAATTAAATATTATTTCGTATCCTATGGTTCATTTCTTTTACATTCAAATAAATTAGATTTTCTATATTTCTATCAATTCTATTATTATTGATTAAATAAATCAATAGTATTCTGAACTGTTTTTATCTTTTTCATCATTATTTTTTATTATATTACAATTTTTCAATATAATTCTATCAAGAATTAGAATGTTTCTTTTAGAAATTATTTGGTAATGACTTACTTTTTGATGAAATAATTGAAATTTAATTAATAAATGATTTTGTTTTTATTCATTAATTCTTTCTTTTAATACATTATATTCATTGCCGATATAATGTAATTCATTATTTAATATTTGGCGATGTTCTATTAAATCCATTAAACAAAATTTGTTTGAACATCCTTCACAAAGATATTTTATTTTATCTTTATTGTATGTAAAGTTTTCAGTAATATTACAAGATCTAGAATGTAAAAAAAAATATGTCGATTTTATTTTTTCAAAAGGAAGAATAAGTCGATGCATTTTCTGCTATTTATACGCGTTTTTGGTCCCAGAATCACATTGATGTATCTGAGATGACAAAAGAAATAAATGATCATTTGAATAAAACTAATTTCAATAGAAGAAAATATATCGAAGAGCAGATGGTAAGCGAATAATGATGCGCAGCATCTTGGAGAGTAATCATTCTTTATTGTATTTTTTATCTTTTTTTCAATGTAATAACTTCTAATACGAATAATATGGCACACAAAAAAAGATAAAAAAAATGAATAATAGTATACTGTTGTATCTAAAATAGCTCTTGTCAAATGATTAAAAAAAATGAATGCCCTCCAAATTAACACTAGCGAGTCATTAAAATAAGTGTTCGTGGTTGTGTCTAAGAGATGTGAGTTTCATTTTAATATCTGCATATGTACAAAAGTACACCGACAACCATGCTCACATTCACAAACACTAGCTCGAATAAATCGCTAAAGTGTTCATTTTCAGATTATTAGCATTTTTATGATTTAACAAGAGCTTTTTTCGATACAACAGTATACTATTATTCATTTTTTTAACTTTTTTTTTCGCATACATTATCTTTTTTTTTGTGTCTCATATTATACGTATTAGAAGGTATTACATTGAAAAAAAGATAAAAAATATAATAAAGAATGATTACTCTCCAAGATGCTGCGTATCATTATTCACTTACCATCTGGTCTTCGATATATTTTCTTCTATTGAAATTAGTTTTATTCAAATGATCATTTATATCTCATTGTTATTTCTGATAGATCAATGTGATTCTGGGACTAAAAACGCGTATAAACAGGAGAAAATACATCTTGAGAGTGGGTAGTATAACGGGGAAAAGAATGCTGTATAGGTAATACTTTATTAAGTTAAGACCTTGGCGTTATAAAATATTGTGTCTGAACATGGTAGAGTTTTTTGTGCTAGGTAAGAAAAAGAAGGGGCACCAAACAGGCTGTTTAAAGTAACGAAAAGAGAGAAAAAGAACTGTATCTAACCATTACTATGGTTTATTTTTTCTGTTCCAATAAGAAGAATAATTCATATGTATTGAATAAATAAATGATTTCTCGAAATATTAATATACTGTAGAACAGATTGGTATGTTAACATGAATAGAAAACACTCCTCAACTTTATTCAATGAAATGAAATGAGATGAAATGAGCATATACATATAGTGCAAGGGGATAACAGCAGACTTCAAGATTTCAAGACTTCAAGAGACTTCACCAATAGAGACTTCAATTTTTCGAAAAACTTCAAAAGACTTCAAAAGATTTCAGGAGACTTCGATAGACTTCTAAACACTACAAGGAACTTCAATGGACTTCATAGATTTCAAGAGACTTCAAGCGATTTCAAGACTTCAAAAGACTTCCAAAACTTCCAAGACTTCGTGAGACTTCAGGCATATAGTCTCTGTTGTATACCCCTTCATATAGTGTCATTAACGAGATGAACAATGAAAAGGTAAGATATAATGATTGTGGATGTATATATCTAGTTGTTTGTGTAGTTTAGAAGGGTCAGTATGTGTGATATAATGTCAAATGATATTAATTTTCTACAAATTAGTTTGCTATTATGAAAGATAATTTTGGTGCAAAATCATATTCCCCATCATATGAATAGATCGATATGTATATCGATTCTTTTAGATCATAGGTGCTTATTTATTAGGGTGTGGGTGGATGTGTTAATTATAAATAAATATAATACCTACAGTCACACCCACTTCTTGTATAAATGTATTGCTGACGCCATTGAAATGCAAACGAAGCCTGTTTTATATGTAAAAAGCGTGCAATACGACGTCATTTGCTGATATCAGTGCATTACAAGATAAAAAAAGATTTTGTTTATCGTCCCACATTCTAAGCACATACACGGTTTTTTTTCGTTTCTCTTAATTTCTTTTACTTATATTTCTTATTATTAGTGCACACAGCAAATGTTTCTTACACTATTTTTACTTGTAATTCTTCTAATTCTCTATCATCAAATTCGTTCATTTCGTTACTTTTCCTCGCGCTCAGTTCCTGGTCCTCATACTTCACTCTTCTTTGGTAATCTACGTCAACTATGGAACTGCCAAAGTATTAGTCGACAACTTCAACTTTGGACCAACAAATTTGGACCAATCTACGGTCTCTACGAAGGTGCTCGTCAACGGGTTTGGATTGTCAGTGATGTGAAATTTCTAGAGGATGTATTTATTAAACAATATTCACACTTTACATCACGTAAACCAATTGCAATTTTTCTTAATCCAAATGAAAAGTATCCAAGTCTGTTGAATGCAAAAACCGAGAAGTGGAAACGCCAGAGAAAAGTAATGAATACAATATTTTCAACAATTAAATTAAAGGTGAGCTCATAGGTGCTTTAGAGTTAACTTCGGAGCAAGGTTAAAGATCTAAGTAAATCGCAAGATGTATCAAAATACCATTGAGCTTTTTATGGATTCAGAAACTTTCTCCAAAACTTCTCCTCTTGTATTTTATAATTTAGACTCTCGCGATGGGCTTCTAATGTAGGATAGGCTTCCATCATAGACTGAGGATATATTGAATTCTTGGGTCTATACACGAAAAATTGAAAACGAAACTGCGCACAAACAAATGTTGAACTGCGTTTATTACATGACAATCAACTAGATTCTCCTCTTGACTTGAAAAACTGTAATAGAAGTTGATTTCTATTTTTCTAGGATCTATTTCCCTACATGAATTCCTGTGTCACTCATTTCCTCTTCAAACTTTCTACAACCGGCTCTTCTGATATCAATATCTATACTTTCTACAAACGCCTTACATTTGATATAATTTGTTCCTGTTGTTATGGTTTGGATACGTCTTCCGAAGAATATTATCAAAAAGTTGAAGAGATCTTTGCAATTGATGTTACACAATCTCTATGGGTAAAATTAACTTGTTTACTTGGTTCGACGTCATTTCTCTCACAATTGATTGAAAAACTGTACAGATCACAAGATGATTTCAAACGTTTTTTGAATGGAAAACAGAATTTTTTTCAATTTGGTGAATTTCCAAGATATTGGATCAGAGAAAAAGTTCGAGAAATTGTTGATCTAGGAATAAAAAGTCGTGACGATGATGAAAAAATTGATTTAGTGCATTTATTATTGAAAGCTACAGATAAGGTAACACATCATGTTTTGAATCTAGTAACTTTGAGGGCTTCGAAACGAAGGTTTCAGACTCAAAGTAATTTTCATAATTCCTTCCCTCTCTTTTCTTTATTTTCAAAGGATGGCTCGATGACTCATGGTGAAATCTTACAAAACGTTTCTGCATTCCTTATCGCTGGCTATGAACCAACAGCAGCAACTATGGCCTATTCCACTTATATCTTAGCGACTCATCCCGAGGAACAGTTAAAGTTACAAATAGAAATCGATTCATATGAAGGCGAAGAAGAGATGAGTTATGATATAGTCATCAAAAAATTTGAATATTTAGATAGGTTTTTAAGAGAAGTGTTACGAATGTACCCGATTGCATTACAACAACTTAGCCGTCAGTGTGAACACGAAACGATGGTTAGAGATGAACATGGAAGAGAATTTAAAATTGAGAAAGGTATACAGAAAGTGAAATTAAAAGACAAAATGTGTTGTGTGGATCAACTATGTATCTCTCTAATCATTTTTCAAATGCAATAGTTGAAAACTATATCTGACGAAAAACATTGAAGTTTTTCGTCCTTTTATCTTAAAATCTGTGATCCATTGATCCGAAAGCTTTATAACAATCTTGACCGAATCGAAGTCTGTATTTTTTCAAAATATTGTTCCCGTTAATTTTGTGAGAGTCTAAAAAGATTAGATCGAGAGAAAAAAAGCGTTTTTTGACGAGGCTCACAGTATTTTCACTCTTTGAGACGACTGAGACAATGTTTTTCAAATAAAAAAATATCTCTCGATTTCGCCAATTTGGTAACAAAATAAATTTCAGCGATGAGAAATGAAACGAGGATCCTTATGGGAGGCACAACTTCAAATTACTTTTAGCTCTTGAATTTTCTATATTTTGTTGTAAAACGATTTATTTTCCATTGAAGACTTTCTTAAGAATTTTACTCAATGTTGCACCAAACATTCATCATTTACACTTCGTCTTCTTCCTCTAATTTTCCTAGATGATATTGTTCAAGCTGATGTCTATTCACTCCACTATTCTTTGGATCTCTGGGGACCAACTGATCCAGACGTATTCTACCCTGATCGTCATATTACACAAAAATCACAATCCGCTTTCCTCGGATTTGGGTTAGGCCCACGCCAATGTATTGGCATGCGTTTTGCTATGTCAATTATTAAATTAACATTGATACGTTTACTGAAGAAGTATACGGTGGTACATAGTAACAAATTAGAAGAAAATTGGTGTTTACAAGATAAACGTGTTATAACTCCACAGAGCTGTTGGATTCGACTAGAAGCGAGACAATGACGAAACACTTGTTGAGTTTACTGACGTTTCTACAACTTTTATAAAATATATAAACACTAAGTTACTCTGTGATTACCTATCGGAAGTGAATTACATTTCTCGGTTAAAAGAAGGTCTTTCAAGAGAAAACGCGTTTGTATGCATATTTTTGTGGGTGTGAATATAGGTCTAGAAGTGGATACTATATTCACTTCACACCGATTCTCATTCACACCCATACCCTCAGGATGGTTCTTTTCGAGGAAGGAGTGGATGAAAAAATCCAAAATGCAAATATTTCGTTGATTCTATATAATGTGTTAAATAACCTGCTCCGTATCAGTATCTTGGGGATGAGAGTGTAGGTTAAGAGAAGATAGACACCCACATCCCCACTCACGCCCACACTCATCACAACTATACATACACTTAGAATCGAGTAATGTGGATGTGGGTGTGGGTGAGTGAGTGGGTGTCGACTGTTAAGTCTGAAACACCCATACTTACCCACACTCACCCCACACGCACACTATAAAATCAGCTGACATACGTGAGCAAGATTCAATGGTGAAAAGTTTAGCTTCTATCTCGAGTTCTGGAAACACATCTTAGAATGTTTTCTGATGCTTACCTCCTCGACCTTCCTCCTGAAATACTTCAATATAACCTGAAATGAAAATTTTTACCCACTTATGAGCACTTTTACACCGGTATGCATCGATACTTTTTAAAAGATCGTCAGTACGATGCCATATGAGATCGAGGGTGTGAGTATCTTTTCTCTTAACACACATCCATACCCACCCACATATATCTCCTACGTCTTCTATCATCTCTCTCGACATATCTTTCATAATATCATTCCTGACGATGTGTTCTAGATAAGAGACACGTCACCCCGAATCTCTTCTTTATTTCTATTCGAAATAAATATTTAAAAAAAACAAAATATTATTTACAGCAGTTATCTCTTTCTTTTCTTATGTTATCAACTAGCTCTTTGTTGTTTGCATGTAAGGTGAATAACGAAGGCTGTTTCTCCTTCTATAATATAATCATCATTTGTGTATTTCTCTACATTAAATAAAGGATGGTCCATAAGAAATCCGGGGATAAGAAATTTAAATATCTTCACCAGTTCTCGACCAACTGAGCTGGAATTTTTACCAGTGATATGAGCTTACTGGAAGTTTTTTTTTGGTACGAGACAGAACGACAAATCACTGTTCCTATCTAATGGGACGGACATCAAGAAGGATTTTTTTCCACTACGACGGCTCTATAAGATCCAATGAAGAATACTACTATTGTAATTGCATTTTTAAGATTTTATTTGTCTTACCACAAGGAAAATCTTTAAAACCTGATTTTCTTTTCATTTTGTTGAATAAAAACGCAATTACAATAGTAGTACAGTGTTTATTACCTCTTATAGAGCCGCAACAGTTGAAGAAACCTTGTTGATGTCCGTCGAATTAGGTAGGAACAGTGATTTACCAATCTGTCTCGTACGGAAAAACACTTCCAGTGAGCTCATATCGCTAGTAAAAATTTCAGCTCGTTTCGTCGAGAACTGGTGGAGGTATTTAAATTTCTTATCGCCGGGTTACTTATGGCCCATTCTGTACATACAGGTTGGATTTCTTAGACTAGGACAAAGCCATAAGTCACTTCAATCAGATAAGGATGTGAGAGATATTGAGGTCTTGCTTAACACCTAGATTCAAACTCTCACTCTCAGCAGAATCTCCGTAATTTCACCCAGAAAAGGTTTTTTTCTTGGTTTACTATGTTCGCCAATTAGGGTATGAATGTAGGAAGAATATAATATCCATATCGACACATCCTCAAGATTAGCGACAGCATAAGAAATTTCTTCTCGGAGAGGCTCAGCTCATCATAACCCGTTTCCGACACTGCCACCAAATATTATTATAAGTGCTTTAAAAGACTTTCAGGATAGGCTGAGTTCGCCTCTAGTATCACTAATACTCAAGATGGGACGCATACGTTAAACTAGTGAGAGCGCAGAAAATATTTGTTACTTTTCACTAATGTACTTTCATACTTCTCAACTAATTCATATCTCATTTGATCGTATATATCGAGATAGCAAAAAAGCCTGAATAGCATTTTCTCCACGATTCTTTCTCCAATCGTTATTGCTATTTTATTGGATTTTCGACCCCTTTCTGTGTATATGCCCCAAAAGATAATATATCGTGTTTTATTCTAAAACTTTGCTCATATGTAGATCCAATAGTCATTAGAACATCCTGTAGGGATATGGATAAGAAGATTTGTCAATTTGCAAAATGAGGAGTTAGTGATGATACATTCACCGCCCCCCCCTCCACTCCTCCAGCTATGGCAAAGCGATGATTTCATAGTTTCTTAATAAATTTTGCATAATTATGTAGAGATTCTGGCAGAACAATGCTTGGACACACTTATTAAACTGTAATCAACAACAACGTAGATTTCATTGTTACTTACGATAATTGACGAACAACTGAAATATTCAAACATTGCTGGATAAATATGCTTTATTCATTATTAGAAAAATCGACGAAAAATCGTCCTGATACAATTGCTTTATGGTCTAATGATTTTAGTTGCACGTACTTTGAATTAAATGAAAAAGTTAAAATTTTAAGTGCTGGTTTATTAAAACAAGGCTTGCAGAAAGGAGATAGAATTGCATCTTATCTACATAGTAGTCCTGAAGCTATACAATTATATTTTGCCTGCTTTAAAATAGGTGTATCAGTTGTAGTGATTAATCCATTCTTTCGTGAATTTGAAATCAATTTATTAGTTGAAACTGCTCAACCAAAATTATTTATTACAGAAAGAGCATTGTATGAAAATATTAAGAAATTAATTCAGCCATTTTCACCGATCATAAATCATTATTATTTGGTTGATTTTGCATCTACTGATGGATCTAATAATTTATTACCGTTTTTAGATCTTTTGAACACTAATTATACAATAGAAAATATAGGAACTGATGTTGATGTGAAAGGTGATCAAGAAGCAGTAATACAATTGACATCAGGTTCTACAGGTAAATCAAAATGTGTACAAACAAATCACAATCAAAAATTATTCAATGTTAAAGCATTTGAATCATTTAATTTTGACCATAATGATAAATTTTTAGTAATAAGTCCTATGAATACTATGGGAGCTTTAGATTTCCATATTTTACCAGCTATTCAATATGGTGCTACAATTTGTTTTCTATCAACTAACACTACAAATGACCTATACATTAAACAAGTTCCACCGATTTTATATGAACAAAATATTACATATTTGAATTGCATATCATCAACATTACGTAATATAATTAAAGAAATAAACAATTTTACTCAAGGGATATATAGAAAGAATATGTTACGTTATGTTTTTGTTGGTGGTGAAAGATTTCCCGACTTATATTATGAAAATGCAAAAAAATGCTTGGGGATGTATCCACGTGAACTTTATGGAATGACAGAAACAAACGGTCCTTGTGCTATTACAGCTGATAATCCACCGAAATGTGGAAGATTCAAAGCATTAAATGAGACAATAAAATTTCGAATAACAAATGAAAATTGGGAAGATATGCCTCATAACACAAGTGGTGAAATAACAATTTATTCAAAAACAATAATGACTGGCTATTTAAATGATGAGAAGACTACACAACAAGTTATAAAAGACGGATGGCTTAAAAGTGGTGATATGGGATATTTAGAATCAAATGGTACTTTAAATATTGTTGGACGTATAAAACAAATGGTTATATGTAATGGATGTAATGTTAATCTAATTGAATTAGAAGAAACATTACTTGAATGTGATGATGTTCATGAAGTATGTGCAACAAGCGTACCATATATGGAATTTGAAAAACCAGTTGTATTCGTTTCAATTCATTCTTTTTCGTCGAAAAATATTGCCGAAGTTGAACAATATTTATTTTCTTATTTGAAAAAGAAATTAGCTGATTACAAAATACCATTATATATCAGAATATTAGACAAGTTACCAAAAAATACAAATGGAAAAATAGATCGAAAAATGTTAAAAGACAGAGCTTTAGAGGAATCGATACAGGACTAAATGTATAGCTTGGCAATACAATATACTGGGTGTGGATGTGTATTATAAGAAGAGACATTCAACTCACCCTTACTTTGATTTATTTGTTTTATTCACTTACATTTTATACTACACATTATTATATATTAATCTTAATTAATAAATATCTTACACTAAAATAAGAAGAGAATTTAGTTTATTAATGTAAAACTATGCTAATGTTATGAATAGGATTTTAAGAATATTTAGGATAGCGTACAGAATACACATATATTTTGTTTTTTTTGTCAAACATCTAGCAAGAACCAAGTGGAAAAAACTGATCTTTATCAATGTCACATAAATTCGATATACTACATTTTGTTTTCCGATTGCAGCGTCTCGGTTAAAATTCTGATCTTAGCATTCTAATGTTATTGCTAGCGAAAACTTTTCTCGTTATCAGACGAATTACACATTAAAGGTCTCAACGATATAGATATTCATAATTTATACTAACACCACCAACACCCAACTAAGTACCATCCCTGAACAAACTTTTCTCTGAAAATATGTTATTCTGATCTAATATTCGCGGATGGTCGACAAGAACAAGAAAGAAAAAATAATAACTATCAAAAAGAGATTTTTATTGATACCATGACTTTATTTTCAACGTTACACTTTATTATTGCATCTGTTATCGCTAAATTTTTAGTCATTTTACATCAATAGCTACCATGCATCTTTTAAATAAAAATATTTTTT